ACAGCTCAGGTCTATTACTAACTAGCTCTTGTTACTAACCTACGTTTCCACGGGTTTCGTGCCTTTACCAATGCTCTACTGCGTCTGTTCCTCTGGTGACTGAGTTTGATTTTGCCTTATCCTGCCTTGCCCTTTTATTATTAACCAGCAGGAGCAATACATACTCCCAGTGCACAGAAAGACCGCCCCACGGCACTGTACATACATACTATATACACATACTATACATACATACTATACGTGTCAATACATACTCCCAGTGCACAGAAAGACCGCCCCACGGCACTGTACATACATACTGTACATACATACTGTACATACGTACTATACATACATACTATATATACATACTATACGTGTCAATACATACTCCCAGTGCACAGAAAGACCGCCCCCACAGCGCTATGAAGTGCTTCGGCCGCATGGCTGGCTCTGGAATTGGCCACCTCCCTGTGGCTCCCCCTTCAGAGGTCCCTTCCGTAGAAGAGTTCTGTGACCTGGGGACATGGCCAGCATCAGGAGGACAGAAGGGAGGGAGCTCACCCTTCTTTCAGACAGGGAGTCTATAGCCCAGACTGGCTTCCAGCTCATGGCTATCCTCCTGCCTCGGTCTCCTGAGTGCAGGATAACAGGCCTGCACCCCAGCATGCCTTGCTCAGGAAGGTGCCCAGTCCTTGTCTGCCCTCCTCACCGGTGTCCTCACCAAGACTAGGGCATGGGCACCCCTTTCTGAGGTGTGCTTGTCCCCTCTGCCCTGGGGGTCCTGACCCTGTCTTGTCACTTCAGGTGGCCTGTGAGTTTGGCCTGTTGCACGTGGTCTCCCAGAGCGGTGGCATCCGGGGCAGGGACTATTGCATCCTCTACAACTCGCAGTGGGCCCACCTGCCGCGTGACCTCAGCAAAGTGGTGAGTGGTGCGCTGGGCTGCATGTGCCTGTGACCTGCAGTCTTCCTCCTGCTACTCACCTGGAGCCCCCAGCCTGGGTTCTCCTGAGGGCTGTGGGGAGCCTGGTGAGGCAGGGCCCCCCCATGTCTTCTTGTGCCCCATGCTAGTCCCAGGGAGATGCCTGTCCTCCGAGTGGGCCCCTACGCCCTTTCACATCTACACTTAATGGTGTGTGCACGAACTTCTGTGTACTTTGTGTGTGTGTGTGTGTGTGTGTGTGTGTGTGTGTGAGTGGCCCCAGCCTCTAGGCCCAAAGTCATGCTCGCAGTGGGTCAGCATGCCTTTTCCCCCGGTGTTCCCGCATGCCCACCGTGGTTCAGCATGCCATTTCAGCCTTGAGTGATGCTCATGCCATTGTGACCAGCACTGAGGCCAGGATACTTGCTAGGCCTTTGGAGGCTATGCATTGTGTGCGATGAGGGCTCTGTCAGGCCCAGGTACCTAGCTTTGCATGTTGTGTAGCCGTGTCCCCTCACAGGGTCCTCTAAGTCGCCTTCTGGGCCCCCTCCCGAGCTGGGTAGGACAGGCCTGGCTATCCTGGTGTGGTTGCCTGTAGGGATAGTGAGCGTGTGCTCCTTCCTGTTTTCTGTGGAACTGGTGGTGCTGATGCCATTCCCTGCTGCAGTCTCTTCTGAAGCTTCGAGACTTAAGCTCAACCCAGCTGTGTTCCTACCTTGACCTTCCTGTGGAAGACCTCACCAACCAGATTGCGCTGGTGGCCCGGGGCAACTGTACCTTCTACGAGAAAGTGCGGCTGGCTCAGGGCAGTGGGGCGCATGCACTGCTGATTGTCAGCAAGGAGAAGCTGGTAGGGTGCCCGAGTCCCCGTCACCTGTGGGGTGGTGGTACAGTATCCGGGAGCCTAGCACTGAGTCCCAGAGGCCTCGCTTGTGAGTTGTGATCTGGCCAGTTGCTAATGGGTTGAGGACCCTGAGAGTGGCCACCGTGCTGGGCCAGTTCAGAGGAGCCTCCAGACCCTGCCCTCCTTCCGGACCCCTGAGTCCCAGGGCTTGATGCCTGGCACTGCCAACCTGAACTCCGGGCCTTACTGCTCTCCTGCGTACACGCTCTGGTGCAGAGCTGGGCACAAGGGATTCAGGGAAGAGGATTGGCATTGTCCTGCCAGAGGGCCTTGTGATCTGTGTCTCTTGTCCGCTGCAGGTCCCTCCAGGAGGCAACAAGACACAATATGAGGAGATAAGCATCCCTGTGGCCCTGCTTAGTCACAGGGACCTGCAAGACATCTTCAGGGTAGGTACCAGGGCATGGCAGGGTGAGTGGGGCTTAGAGTCTGCGACCTGGGTCCTAGGAGTAGGTGCTGTCGGTTCAGGGTCTTGGTTCTAAGTATTGGTTCAAGATGGGGTCCTTGGTGAAGCTGGGGCATAGTGCCCTCCACGCCCTGAGCCCACTCTCCTCTTGGGGACAGCGCTTCGGCCGTGCGGTGATGGTAGCACTATATGCACCGAGCGAGCCAGTGATGGACTACAACATGGTCATCATCTTCATCATGGCCGTGGGCACTGTCGCCCTCGGTGGCTACTGGGCCGGCAGCCGTGACGTAAAGAAGTGAGTGCTGCTGACTATAGGCACTGTGGGTGGGGTGGAGCCGCTGGGATCCAGACCCTGGGTGACCGCAGCGTTTTCTAAGAAGGTACATGAAGCATAAGCGAGATGATGGGCCTGAAAAGCAGGAGGACGAGGCGGTGGACGTGACGCCCGTCATGATCTGCGTGTTTGTCGTCATGTGCTGCGTCATGCTGGTGCTGCTCTACTACTTCTACGACCATCTGGGTGCGTTGCCTGCCCACCCGCCAGAGCCCCGCCAGAGCCCCGCCAGAGCCCCGCCCCCATAGCTGCTCTCCTGACTTCTTCCCCTTCCTGCCCCACCCTGCCTCGTCCCACAGTCTATGTGATCATCGGCATCTTCTGCTTGGCCTCCTCCACCGGTCTCTACAGCTGCTTGGCACCCTGTGTGCGCAAGCTGCCCTTCTGCACCTGCAGGTGAGCCCTCCCATCCCTCTCTTGCCCTGTACCACCTGCTGGCACATTCAGAGAGACTGCAGATGCCCCCTAAGAGCTCACCATGCGGGCGCGCTGTGCGGCGCGCTGTGCCTCTTCCTGTCCAGCTGAGCCAGGGAGTGAGGCGACTGCGAAGGGCAGGTGGAAGGGGAGGTGGCAACACCGCAGCCCCAAGGGTCTCCCCGCCCCTGGGGTCCCAGGGGACTGACTGCTGCTCAGAGCCTCGTGGGCCACAGTAACAGGATGGAGACCCTTTGGGGACTGCCATCCTGAAACCAGAGGGGCCTGGCCGGTCAGAAGGAAAGCCAGCCACAGTCAGGGTCTCTGCTCAGGGATAGGAGAGGCTGGCAGGCACAAGCCAGGAGCCATGGCTCAGGGTGGTGTGGGAAGGAGAGACGCTGACGGGTGGTCCCCTCCAGGATCCCCGACAACAACCTGCCGTACTTCCACAAGCGCCCCCAGGCCCGCATGCTGCTGCTGGCACTCTTCTGTGTCGCTGTCACCGTAGTGTGGGGCGTCTTCCGCAATGAGGACCAGTAAGTGCTACCGTGTTCCAGGCCCTGCCTCTGCTGTCCTTGGGTGCCCCCGCTGCCCCTCTGGAGGGCTGCACACCGCAGCTGCCACCTGCCCGTGTCCCATTTCATTTAGGCCTGGCCCAGAGCCCATACCCTGATTGGAATCTAGATAAGGGTGCCGTCCATCCTCCGTTCAGCTCCTAGGCAGGGCAAGGGGGCATGCTGGACAAGAGCCACTATTTGTCACCCACTGTCCTGGTGTGGGCTTAGGTAGCACCTGATACCTGGGTGCCACTTGCTGTCTGCCCCCATGGTGATGGGAGGCCCCATTTTCTCCTGTGCTAAATTCCCACGGGGTTCTTATGCATGTACACTCCCCTTTAAGGCAGAGGCCTGGCGCCGTGGCCCAGAGCATAGCCTGCCTGTCCCCACCTGGCTCCTAGTCAGCACTGGCCCCAATCTGACACAGCCCAGGCCTCTCCCCGGGCATCCGGGCACTCCTGGCTTCCATGCAGCTTGGTGCTCAGGCAGACATCACATGGGAAGGAGCAGGTACTCAGCCGTGTGCATGAGAGACGGGGGCTCTGATGGCAGAGTCAAGCCCCACCCAGACCTGGCCTGTCCCTGCTATCCCCTTGCGTCCCCCATGATGACGGCAGTGGTGTGGGGAACAGTGCTCCTGCTCTCCTGACTGCACAGCCCGACCGTGCAGCCCTGACTCGGTACAGGAATCATTCCTCTGCCTCGCACCCACATGGAGTCCCATACCACATCTGTTTGGGACCTTGCTTCTGGGCCCTGCTACCGCTTGGTGACGCTGCCACTTCTGGGGTCTGAGGCCCATTGTGGGCAGGGTGGGTGCAGCTCGTGGTTTGATGGCAGGCCCGCGGGGGCCACCTGGTGTAGGATGAGGTGGGCAGAGCTCCGAGTTGTTGACCACTTTTCTCCCAGGTGGGCCTGGGTCCTTCAGGACGTCCTGGGCATCGTCTTCTGCCTGTACATGCTGAAGACCATCCGCCTGCCCACCTTCAAGGTGAGGCTGCCCGGGAGCATGGCAGGCAGTCCCGGGTAGAGGTCTGAGGATTGGGTGCAGAGGCGTGGGTCCAGGGTGCTGGGCTCTGAGCACAGGTCACGGGAGCAGCCCCGGGCTTTTGCAGGCCTGCACACTGCTGCTGCTGGTGCTCTTCATCTACGATGTCTTCTTCGTCTTCATCACCCCCTTTCTGACCAAGGTAGGCCCCCTCTGCCCTCCCAGCTGCCCACCCCGTCCCCCACCCTGGCTAACAAGCCTGTCTTGTGCAGAGTGGGAACAGCATCATGGTGGAGGTGGCCACTGGGCCCTCGAACTCATCCACTCACGAGAAGGTATGCTGCTCCCCATGTGGACACAGACTAAGAAAGAGCCCAGCAGAGGTGGTGGCTGTTGGCCCCTAGCATAAGCCCTGCTTTCTCCCCAGCTGCCCATGGTACTGAAGGTGCCCAGGCTGAACACCTCACCACTTTCCCTGTGTGACCGACCCTTCTCCCTCCTGGGCTTTGGAGACATCTTGGTGCCAGGTGTGGACTGAGCACATGGGGTGGGGCTGTGGGACATAGTGCCCATGCCTGGAGTTCAGGAGGGGTTTGGGAGCACAGGACCTCCTGGGTGGTGCATGGCTGTATGACCACGCCTGCCAAGTGCGCGCACACACACACACACACACACACACACACACACACACACACACGCTGTATTGGGTGATATGCATCCTTGCTGTCCCCATCCACCCACCGTGGCAGGACCCTCCAGGTCCTTATTAACCCTCTGGCCATCCTGTCACACTGGTCTCCCATAGCCACGCATAACTTTGGTGACTCTGTACCCCCAGGGCTGCTGGTGGCTTACTGCCACAGGTTCGACATCCAGGTGCAGTCTTCCAGGATCTACTTCGTGGCCTGTACCATTGGTAGGTGAAGCGCTGCTGTCCTGTCCTCCTCTGCCGTTTGTCTGTCACCACAGACCCCCAGTGCCATGTGCCTCTGCTCCCATGATGGTTTTAAATGCCACTCAGTAGGGCTGGGCATGAGTAGTCGGGTGCCTGACATGTGCTTGACCCAGGTTCCCTGGGCTAGTGGTGGCACCTTCCCACACGGCTCCTGCGGCCTCCTGTCTTCCTCCCCGACCTGCACAGCCCTGTGACTCTCTCTTTCTGTGCCTCATGTTGCTCAGCTGGCCTGAAGTTTGCAATCCTCCTGCCTCTGCTACCACCGTTCATGCTTGCCTGAACCCTGTCCTTGGTCCCCTCCGTCGTTCACAGTGGCCTTGCCACACTGTCTGACACTGTTTTCCTGCAGCCTATGGCCTGGGTCTCCTGGTGACATTCGTGGCGCTTGTCCTCATGCAGCGTGGCCAGCCCGCGCTGCTCTACCTGGTCCCCTGCACATTGATGACCAGCTGCACCGTGGCACTGTGGCGCCGGGAACTGGGTGCCTTCTGGACAGGCAGCGGCTTTGCGGTGAATACCGGTTTGCTATGACTGCGGTGATAACCCCTAAGGCCACCAGGTCAAGTTGAGTCCAACCTCCCGTGCCCCTACTGAGCCCCTGGCCCGGGGCCATTGCTTCTGGAAGATCACACTTTGGGCTTGTGGTTCCCCGTGGACACTCCTGCTGCCTTGCCAAAGCCCTCCCCCGCATGGCCCTGTTCCAGCCAGAGAGGGTGGAGGGGTACAGTGCAGGACTGTAAGGGAATGAGAGGTGCCTCAGTGGATGATGCGTGGCTCCCCAAGAGGAGCCTTGCTTCAAGACTGCATCTTCCTGTGGGCCCTGTGTCCCAGGACTTCCTTGGTGTCACTGAGGCAGTGCTGGGGTTGGCAGGGATCTGCCCAGGGCCAGCTTTCTGCTCAGAGATCTCTAGGGTCTCAGGGCCACCGGTTCCCTTAGGGTAGATTTGGCCATAGAAGCTGGTGAGCTTGCTCTTGGGCTCTAGAGGAGCATCAGGGAGGGCCCGAGGTGCAGAAGGAGAGCAGGGGTCCCACACACCCGCTCCTAGGACTTGCTGCCCTGGGCCTTGGAGACCTGGGCTCCTGCAGCCTGTGTGCTGGGTGGTGCTGGTGCTGGGTGGTGCTGGTGCTGGGTGGTGTTGGTGCTGGGTGGTGCTGGTGCTGGGTGGTGCTGGTCCGTGCTGGTGCTGGTGCTACATGCTCTAAGTACCCTGTATCTGTATTGGGTTCCACCCCATTGGGGTCTGCTACCCACTTGTCCAGCCTCACAGCTTCCTCCTCTCTACAGAAGGATGTACCTCAGACCTCATGGGCTCCAGCTGAGGGGCCTGCACCTCCGATGGACTCAGATGCCCCCCTCTCCCAGCAGCCTGCAGGTGAAGACCTAGCCAAGAGACCCCTGCCCACTGAGGAAGCAGGCCTGCCTGAGGAGGCAGGAGTTGCAGACTCTGCTGGGGATCGTCATAGTCCCATGGCTAGCACTTCCAGCCCCACAGATGGGGACCAGGTCCAGCCCAGCTCTGTGTTACAGCCAGGGACTTCGGCCTAGGAAAAGGAGGCGCACGAGCTGGGCCCTTGCAGCCTTCCATGCCATACAGATGCAGGCCACCAGGGACATGCAGGGAACAGAGACAACTGCCACCCTCCTGGGCGGCAGACCTGCGCTGTGCCCTCCCTAACATGGTGCTCAGCCCTCTGAGGCCTCGCGCTTGTCTTCCCCACCACAGCTGCGCCCCGGAGCCCAGCTCTGCTTCGCACCAGGCTGTGGGCTTTGCCTGCCACCCACTCCATGCAAGGCTAAGGCTGCGCCTTCCACAGGGCAGGGCTCTGCGGGCAGGAGCGACATCCTTGTCATGCAGGTTCCTGTGTTGGGAGCAGCCATGAGGCCTAGATGTAGACACCCCAAGGGCCTAGGCCAGCACGAGGAGTCCACACCCCATCAGGAGGTCCATGCCGAGATGGAGTCGAGAACACTGCTCTTCGCTCCAAGCCAGTAAATGGCTCTCGCCCCAGGTTCTGCAGTTTGTGGCATAGAGGGGTCTGGCCAGGCACAGATGCTCCACATCCCCAGCAAATAGCCCTCAGTTCAGGCGTGCAAGTCTTCCATGCCACGGCCCCTGCGCCTGCCCCGACAGTGGCTTCTGGACCAGGCATTTGTCCTCTACCTCACCAGCCAGGCTCTGGGCCCCACCACGGTCTGCCTGCAGGGGGCGACCACACATGCTGCATGTCAAGATGGAGCCTGGGACCTGTGTCCACTCACTTGCATTGAAAGGGTGACAGGCAGCGCACCTGGGCAGTCCTCCTGGAGCTTTGGGAAGGGACGGAGGGGGGGAGGGAGGGAGGGAGGGAGGGAGGAAGGGGAAGAAGGAGGGAGGAGGACTCCCAAGGCACCCCTGTCCTACCAGAGTGCACAGAGATGTGAACATGGGGGCCCAGCCACCTGCTTCTGCCACTTGGACTGCGCCTTAACTTAAGCCATTTTGTACTGGGTTTCCAAACAGTTCTTCCATCTCTGAGTTGGTCAGAGGGGCTTTGGGCAGTGCCACCTGAGGGACCTGGCTTTAGGTTGTCAGGGGATTAAACAGCTTTTCATACTCACGTTGGCCTCCTATTCTGTGAGGTCTGACCTGGACACTTGAGTGCTCTGCTTTAGATTTCCGAGCGGCGTTGGGTCCTGACAGAGGTATGGGGTGGCCAGAACCCATGGGTCCAACTCTCCTCACTCCTCGTGTCCATGATGCCCTGGTTCCCTTTGCAGGAAGGGCGTGCCTTAGCTGTGTGGTCCCCAACCTCCTAGTGAGCTGCCCTGCCCAGATGCACAGTCCCGGCTGGGCTGGTGGCACATGCAAAGGCAGGAGCATCTCTGAGTTCAGGGCCAGCCTGGTGTTAGAGTGAGCTTGTCTTAAAGAAAAAATACACAGAAAGAAGGACGCAGTCCTGGAGGCTGGAGTTAGGAGTCCTCCCAGCGCTCCCTGGGGGTCTGGGTGGGTTGCCAGCACGTGTGTGGCTCAGCATGGCCTGTAAGCTGTTCTGGAGGAGCCCACACACAGACATGCACACACAATTTAAATATTTTTTATTCATTCATTTAAGTACTTTTTTTCATTTATTTTTTGGGGGGACTTCTTTGTGTAACAGCCATGGCTGTTCTGGAACTTACTTTGTAGATCAGGCTGGCCTTGAACTCACTTGGGATCTGCCTTTGGAGTGCTGGGATTAAAGACTGATGTCACAAAGTCTGGCCATAATTAAAATCTTTTTTTAAAAGATTTATTTATTTATTATGTATGCAACATTCTGCCTCCATGTATGCCTGCATGCCAGAGGAGGATGCCAGATCTCATTACAGATGGTTGTGAGCCACCATGTGGTTGCTGGGAATTGAACTCAGGACCTTTGGAAGAGCAGCCAGTGCTCTTAACCTCTGAGCCATCTCTCCAGCCCCCATAATTAAAATCTTTAACAAAAGAAGAAGCAGCAGCCCAAGTTGAAGCTTTGGGGCTTGGGACATGAAGCTCATGGTAGCAAGAGCTAGATTGTGCTGGGTGTTGCAAAATCCAAGGACTGGGCCGCACCGCGTGCAGAGTTCTCTCCCATGTACAAAGCCCTGGGACCCATTGCCAGCACTGAAGGAATAGGATGTGTTGGCACACCTGCCATGCCCGCACTCAGGAGGGGCAGGAGCTGGTGCCCATCCCAGCTACATGTTCCCTGTGAGTTCGAGGTTCACCTGGGTGACAAGACTACTTCAGAAACCAAACAAAGTAGATTTAGGTTCTTTGGGCCCTTCCACTTGGAGGGGGCACACGTGCCACAGTGTACACACAGGAGCTGGTTGAGGTCAGATTCAGGCATGGTGGCAAGCATCTTTGCAGCATTTGGATTTAACCTTACCTTCCGTCCATGTTGAGGATGGAGTGTGTGCCATTTCACTCAGCTCTCAGCCTCCCCCCACCCCCTGCAGGCAATGCACCTGCAGAAAGTCACCCCTGAGGTGCAGGCTGAACCAGGGGCGGTGATCTGAGGTGCCCCTGTCCTCATGTCTGCCCCAGGGTTAACAGCAGTATCAGCAGTTAACAGCCTGGAAATACTGTTGCTGCCCAGAGACAAGTTCGGGCATTGAGGTGGGCTGCAAGCCTGTGGGTGGATGACAGCTGGATGTGATCGCCCACCTACATCCTCTACACTGTTGAACGGTGGCAAGGCTAGTGGGAGCCTGGGGAGGGAGGAGGAGGCAGGGCTGAGGAGCTAGTTCCCTATCTTGAGTGCTAGGTACAAAGAACAAAATGGTGACCAAGGAATGTCCTCACTGAGACAGTCAGACCACACATGTTGGCCCCATTCTTCCTCATCAGCCAGATGCATAACTACCATCTATACCTACATGCAGGTATCATTCAACCCTCCAGTCTCTGCTCCAGAGACTTCAGTTCTACATTGGAGATGTCATCGGCTCTGAATTGAGGGACTGGAGTGTTAGGGCAGGCTGTCTGGAGGAGGTGACCATTGGAGTGAGGTCCTTGAAGTGTAAGGGACCCAGGAGGAGAGTCTGTGAATGCTGGGTGCCCAGCTAGAAAGATGGGTGTCAGCAGCCTTAAGGCCAGTGGGAGTCAGGGTGCTTGCTTCCCCCTGACAGGGTCTAGTGGGCTGTAAGAAATCAAGGTGGTGGGTTCTAGAATGAGGAGTGTAGTCATAGGGTAGCGCACACAATCCCTGAGAAGTGAGCAGACCCTTCTCTGCAAATGGGAGGCCCTCGAGATGGTCAGGTTTGGAGACCAGCTTAAAACCCGTGCTCTGGAGGGTTACACCTGCCCTACCTGGAAAGAGCAGTGCCGCTGTGCCAGGGGGTGGGTCATCAGGAGCCCTGCCCAGTACACACTGCATCTCATCCATCTGCTGGACCTTTCTGTAGGGTGAGGCCAGAGCCAGGGGGCACAAGTTGAGCAGGGGTTACGTCAGGTGAGGCTTCGAGGATGCCCCTGCTCCAGCCCTGGTTTGCAGCCACTCCTTCCAAATAAACCACAAGATAAGGCACAGACATGCTGTCACCAATCACTCGGGAAATGGTCCCAGGCAGGGGAGATGCCTAGTAGTCAAGGCACTCATGCTGTGTAAGTGCAAAGACCAGAGTTCACAGCCCACAGAAATGCTGTGCACATGGCTGCCTTCCTGTACTTCCAGCCTGGGAGGGAATCCCAGCGCACAGGTCAGAGACAGATAGGCAGAGACATGGCTGAGGGTTAAGAGCGCTTTCTGCTCTTGCAGAGGGCCTGTGTTCAGTGCCCAGTGCCTGTGGTGGGAGGCTCAGGGCTGCTTCTAACTTCAGCTTCTTGTGTAATGTGATGCCTCTGGCCACCATGGGTACTGACACAGAACCACAGAAAAACCTGGGCATGGTGGACCATGCCTTTAATCCCAGCACAGGGAATCAGGCAGGCGGATCTCTGGGAGTTCAAGGCCAGCCTGGTCTACAGGTGAGTTCCAGGACAGCCACAGCTACATAATGAGACTCTATCTCAAACAAGCAAGCAAACAAACAAAAAACCAATTTAAAGTACTGGTTTGGCAGAGAGCTGACTGCCTGCAGGAAACCGTAGGTTCTAGCTTTGGTGTCTGTCCTGTGCCTGTCACAGGCAGCAGGATCAGGAGTCCAAGGTCATTCTTGGCTATAAAGTGAGTTTGAAGACCCCTGGGGCTGTGTGAGATCCTATCAGAAGAGAAGAGAGGGAGGGAGGGACAAACTCACACAGACCAGGAATCACAAGTATACACTCAGTTCCTAGAGGCTCAGGCCCACTTCCTCGGTCTGTCTTACCCTGCCCAGGAGCCTAGCTGTCCACAGAGCTGCTGTCATCACATACAGCCCCCTCCAGTTGATCAGGGACCCTCCCTTGTGGTCAGGTCCCCCTCTTGATTCCAGGTACCCTCCCTGCAGGTGTGGGCAGGGCCCATCTCCAGTCGCTGACCTCAGGAGAGGGGGCTTGGGGTGTGTGGCCATTTGAGAGGGCGGTGCCCTGCTCGGGTGACTCCCACCTGTGGTAAGCCCCACCCCTCCCTGTCTGCCCAGCTCAGCCCTGGCTCCCAGGTGTCTGGGTGTCTCCCGCAGCTTCAGCTCCGCTAGGCTGTACGGCTGGAACTCGGTGAGCCGGGGTCTCCTCAGGGCTCAGATTTCCCTTGGGAAGATGGGATATGCAGTTTGAAAAGTTCTGGGGGGTGAGGGTGCACCATCTGGAGGGGTGCATTGTAAGGGGCTGAAAGTCTGGGGTACCCTGTGAAGACTCCCCTGGTGTGCAGGCAATCCAGCTTGGGAACTGCCCTGGGCAGAGTGAGAAGAGCCGGGGCTAAGCAAATGGAGCTTAGTTAGGTGTCTCAATTAGGGTGCATTGCTATGGCTGGGTAGAGGATTGGGGACCCCACCCTTCCTCTCCCACTCCAGCTTCCCAGTCTTTTTCTCCATGATAGAACTGGGAAGTGCTGGGTGTTCAAAGTCCTCCTGGTGGGCAGGAAGAGTGCAGGGTGGTGGTGGTGCTGTCTTAAATCCAAGCACTTGGGAGGCAGAGGCAGGCGGATCTCTGTGAGTTCGAGGCCAGCCTGGTCTACAGAGTGAGTTCTGGAACAGCCAGGGCAACAGAGTGAGGTCCTATGTTGAGAGAGGGAGGTGGCGGGTGTGTAGGTATGTGTGTGCAAGGACGCTGC